ATAAATCCATATAGAGAGAAAAATGTAATATTATCGGATTTGATATATTTTTTATCATCTGAATAGACAATTAAGCTCTCTGTTTAATGTCTCGTACATACTGATGAATTTTGTATCGGAATCAATATTGGAGTTGTTTGATATACATTTAAATATTAATAATATTCATAATAAAATATACAACTATCTACTATAAATAATTATATGCAACATTCTTATGCTCGTTAAATATAATCTGAAAAATTTTGGAAAGGACCATTTCTTTCCAAAAGAGACTCGATAGTAAGACTTTTAACATACCTGTTGGTCAAGATATAATTCAAATATACTTTACCTTATAAGTATGGAAAAAAAGTTTTTTTCATTTGTCATCAAGAACTATATAATAATTTTCAATATTTTGAGTTTAACAAATGGTAAGATCCTATAGGATTGTCTTTTTAAATTATGTGCGCCTAAAAATTCATTTGATTTTAATTATTAAAATTTATTAAAGCACAGATTAAATAAATGAAATCTAAAACTAATTATTATTTTCTGCGTTTCAATATCCAGAGATGAGAGGAAGGAGGGATAAAAAAGAATAATTCTATAAGAAATCACTACAAAATTTGACTTTGATAATCACCTCAAAGATTTAACCTTCGCTTAAAGCAATGCATATATAAAGGTAAATTTACACCAGATTTCATAGGTTTGTTCCATCACACTGCAGAGATTTTATCTCCTGTTCCTATTGCGATACAACGATATGCCGTCGTTACACGCGGAATGTTCGCGATCGTTAAAGGACCGTTGCCCGGTCCATTGGGCAACACGACTGGTGCAATGAAGTCGTAATTATGAGGCGAGTGCAGAGTAAATATTCGTGAGACCTGGTCACTTCTTTAACAGACAATAGCGTAGCTATTTTACAAGGACCAAGTCTTCCATGGCGAGGTGCATATCATTAAAGACACACGACTTCATTGCCGGCTTGCTTCGCTCGAGACTTAATTTCTTCGCCGAGTAGAACCGACCGGATAATAGCAGACCCTTCGTAAAGTTCACAAACGTGAGTATACATCGTGACGGCGACATTCGCGCACAAAGATACTGAATGATGTTCTTTTACGCTTTTTATCGCGGCTTGGAGAACTGCCAAAGTTAGTAGACATCGCGCAGTTGTAATTATAAAATATGCACGAGATGAATGCTCGCTGGGCCGCGGAAACCGTGGTAAAGCAATATGTCTTGTTATAACCTTTTTGCAAACGCTTGAGACTCTTTCTCGAAGCCATTGTATTTTTCTTACGAGTGTGTTTGTCATTTCGCTAATCATATCTAGATAAGTTTCATTTTTATAAAAGCGCAAAAAATATGGAAACATATTAAGAGCGTGAAACAATTACGTTGAGGCGTTGAAAGTGTAAAAAATTCTAAAAGCGAATAAAAATAATAAAGACTGTCGCACGCGAGAGGAATATAAATTAATATATATAAATTAAAAGTAATACAAAGAATATGGTGCAAGGATAATCTGTATAAGCAATCTAGACATGTATCATAAATCATAATTCGGAGAGATTGCTTGAAGAAATGTGACAGAAATGTTTATCATCCAGCAACAAGATGGAACTGTCCGATAATATTCCTTAATCGGTCATTTGCCAGCGCGTCTACCTCCATAATTCCTAAAAACCGTGATTATATTCTTATGTTTCATTTTCTCCTAAAATTTCGATTCCGCCGGCGGAGAGAGTAGACTGGATAATGAGAAATTTCGCCCGGTTCGGAAGCACGCGAGTTCACGTAGAGTTCGTGCACGAAGATACTAATACTTTTTTCTATTTTTCACGACCGTCCCGGGCGAACTTCGCCCAGAGACTCCGCAGTGCGCGCCGACGATATACCGCGGTTGGAATAGTAATTACAGGGGATGTATGTATGAGAGGCGAATACATACATATTCGCGCGGTCCGAACCGACGCGAAGGTGCGCGTGATAGACTCGGATAATCCAGGACAAGTATGATCGATGCAGGAAATAAGGAGCCATCGGGTTTTACGACATCCTGCGGCGGCGCGCGGTTTCCTGCTCGCAACACTAAAGAGAGGACGCGGAGCGGGCGGGCGGGCGGGCGGACGGGCGGGGAGAAGTGACGGGAGAGAGTAAATTCTTCGTAGCACGTTTCTCCGCCACCAAAAGGATTCCTGAAACATTTTTTTTCAGGCCGGATCACCTACCGTCTCTCCTCGTGCGTACGCCACGACGGCGCGAAATGACTGCGGAACGCTCACGCCGTCGCTTCCTCTTCCTCGCGCTGCGAGAGAAGTAACGCGGTATGCGTAAACGTGGTAGCTCCACGTTACCCGGTACTCGTGATTTATTCATTCTACATACATAATCGTTCACCCATAAAATGAAACGGCAGCAGATACCTTCTGCTCGGTTGCGTACGTACGAGCGACCGGTTAGGTATCCGAGGCAAATCCGCGCGGGCTCCTCTCGTGATTTATATTTATAGCGCCGTAACTGCGCGTATTCTTTCGTTTTACTCCACGCATAATTAGCTCGGGACCGCGACCGCCCCCCTCGTACCCCGACTATTTCGCATTTCGTAGGAGAAAAATCGCGATCATGCTCCGGCGATCGCGCGAACGAGAGACGCGATTGACCTTTCCCTCCTCGCGCACAACGACGAATTGAAATTACCCGGTATAATTTGGGTGAGTACCTCATTCGCGATACGATGTATAAAGCAATCGAAGAAAAGCATACTCCACGACGAGACCGTGATTTCCCATTTGTCTCGAATAAACAGCGGGATGATTTTGTAGCGGCGAGAAATTATCTTGTTCCACGCTCCTCATCGAGAAATTATCTTGTTTCCAGTCTTGGTTCCAGGAGGATACCGCGAAAGAATCATCTTTCTATCGTTTAATTGTCGATCGTTAAGGTTCGCGCGGCATTTTGCCGTGATCCACGACCAGTGTGCAACAATCCGTTTGACGCGGGCCGGTCCCACATTCGCCGTGGCACGATAGCTCGCCCTCTCTCTCCCTTCGCCCGCGCGCGAGCGAATCGACACAAGAAAACGAAATGCGATCGCGGGAGACCGCTCCCACATCAATCATCTTTCACAGTTTCGTGGTAGAAAGGATCGGTTGCGGAGCAAATCGTTCCATTGGGGGTCAGTCCCGGTTGCGCAACGAGTCAACGTCGGGCCGTGCGCGGGCGAGCGCGCGGGCTGAGACAGCGGGACCCGAACGGAGGAGAGGAATACACCGCGCACCGCGTGTAACTGCTCTTGTTGACTTAACGGATCAATTTGATGCAAATCACTCGTTTGCGATATACACTCTCCCGTCGGCGGCGCGCGGGGTTATCCGCCGTAATGCCAGCCGCGCGCGTTCTCTCTCGTGCTCGTCGTCCTCCATCCTCCGCCGCTCGTCGTGATAAACGTCGTGTCCGTAGCGGCGCAGCATTTGGAAATTAGCGAGCGGGTCAATTACGGGCCAGCGGGAACGACGGAGGTGCAGACAGGGGGTGGACGGGCTCGGGGGAGAAGGCGGGGGAAGGGTCGAAGGATTGCGCGAACTGGAAGACTCGCGCGGGTCACGGGGTGACTGTGGGAATCCTCGTTGACGCGTCTCGATCGTTTACCGCGGTTACGTGCGCCCGCGAGATCCCACCTTTTCGCTTCCCTTCGCGTTGCGAAAGGAACGGACTCGTTCTCGTATCGACACCGGCCTTTGTGTTCGGTCCCCCGAAGCCGACATGCCGACATCGCTCACGAGATATCTTGTCTCTGCGGTGACGCGTGGTGCGCGTGCCGCCCGTGATATTTGGAGCACCATTGTCTTCCGTCTTAATTTACGCGTGCAATTATGTCAGTAAAATAAATCAATGATAATCGAGAAGCTTAAGAGACGGGTGGTACCAGATTTATTGGCAATATTTCTTATTTCCTATACATCTCGATTAAAAAGCTCATTCAGTTGCAAAAACGAGGGTCTTATGCTAATAACATTTTTCGTTACATTTTTCGACGAGTTGCTAAAATTAAGAATCTATTTACGTCTATCGCGTTTCATTTTTCGCGACATTCCTGTTTGCCGAAGCCCTGTCGTCGCGTGAGTGTATAGGCACGGCCTTTTTATGCTTTACATTCGTACCAGTCCTCGACTGTTGCTCGCGCTTCGTTCCCGGTGCGCCTCGAATTTCCTTCCCCTTGATATTGTGCGCTAGAATAAGGAGCGATTGTGAGTGGAATTTCAATTATCTGGCCCCAATTTAACTTTGCTGAAATTTAAAAATTATGTACGACCCTGGCGTTTCTCTCGCTACCGATTGCAGAGTACGTTGCTTCCATTAAAGGGTAATTAAATTACAGTCCGCTATCGATTGCGAGAGAGACCCGGAGAGCCGGTGGGTCATGAGGTGACTATAGAAATCTTCGCGGCGCGCCTCGTCTGTTTATCGCTCGCCCGAGTTAACAATGCGAATGCCTTATACCCTATTTTAATCGACATTACGAATGAACTGCTTGAAGCAATAACGTGCCGAGGCGTGTTACACGATGTAATACATAACGTAAGATAGCAGAAGTTGACTGTCTTAGCAAAACTCTACGTTAAACTTCTTTATAACGTGGCTAAAAAGTAAGACATACAAAATAAAAAAAAAAATAGGGATGAACAATACATTCATGATCACAATTTCAAGATAATCATCTTTAAAATAAATAAAGCCTTCAGACATCACAAAAAAATTATTTTTTGACATATTAAATCTCAATTATCTTGGAAACCTGACATGTTGAAAAAATTTGATTTGCAAAAATCTGTAATACCTTGTCTGATTCAAAATAATTAAAAAGAAATATTTTTTGTAAATTAATGTTATTAATACGATATCAATTATCAATCTTTAATAACTCCAGGAAAGATTGTCGTAACGATATCGTATGCCAATCAGTTAGACGGTCGACGACTATACAATTTACTATCATATTTCAGGAGGGACGCGATATCACACATCAGGACCAGAATCTTCGCGATTAAAGAGCCACGCCAGCCATCGCGAGAGCCCGCGTACAATGTGAATCCGAACGGAATCGCCAGCGAAGTCCACCAAGCCGATCTTGAGTGGCCATGGCGCGGAACAGGCGCTCGATGGAGCGGAACTACCAGTCACCTGCTCGCTTCCGGCACGCCGCTGCGGTCATCCTCTCGCCGCGCAGCATCTCATCTGACCCCTCTGACTATCTTCTGAATATCTCCGCCGTTCTTGTGTGTCCGTCTCTCTCCCACTCGCACTCTCATTTCTTAGTTTCCGTCCCGCTTCTCGGTCTGCTCGAGTGCACGTCCGCGCGCACTCCGACCGCGTTGCCGATCGCGTACGCTTGCACGCTGCGCTTTCGTGCGTATATACATACACGGTACAAGGTGTCCCCGGTTTAACTTCCCAATAATCATACTTCTTCAATTAAAATGACATTTTTTTCTCACGACAAGATCAACATAATTTGTAAAAAAAAAAATTATTAAAACGTAATTTATTTAAAGAAAAGGCAAAAGAATTTTCATAAATTGGCGAGTTTGCAGTTAGATAACAATAATCCGCTGTTATGTTCAGATAAATTCAAACAGGTTTTATTCTCTTAGAATTTAATTGTCGAGTTTGCTTAATGGAAAATATGCAACGGACAAACGCCATTTTTTTAGATTTATTTATTAAAACCATGGAGATGGGATCAAGACGGATGGAACACCCTGTACCTGTGTAGTATAATACGTATACCTGCATGTTCCTCTGGTGGCCACGCCGTTCTCCTGGGAACGCCGAGCATGACTAAGCGCTACACGGTTGCTTCGAATATCTGGACTGGACGACCGGATCGAGCGATCGTCGGCAGCTGATGGTCGTCGGCCGGTTAATCGGAGCACATTCACACACAGAGAATCACGGGGCTGCAACTGCTCGCGGACTCGAGACGACACGGAGACTCTTACGTCGTTTCTTACGCGCGTTTCAAGCAACGCTGTTTCTCCTGCGCTGAAAGCAATAGGAAGCGGTCGGAAGTTGAGCAACGTATCGCTGTAATCGCCGACATTAACGAGATCTACATTGTGACCTTTTTTTGTGACCCGTTGAGAGTAAAGTTTTCTCTCGAATCGTCCGACTCTGTTATGCGATATTTATTGACTTTGACTTTGTCGTAGTCTACCGACCGACTAATTCAATCGTCGCACGCATCGCGAGACCTTAAGTCACACGATTTGCACGCGGAAATTAGAAGACCGATAGATCCTGCGTTAATTCAGTTAAAAAGTAACGCACGAAAGTT